CAGTCAGGATACTCTGAAATCGAATGGGTATCTCGATGACCTTCAATGGTGGAAGGTACGCTGAGGAAGGACCGTCAAGCCCTCTTCATCAGCCAGTTGAGGGTGATATCGATATTCTTCTGACTCTTACAGCTAATGCCTGTACCCATGATTAGCAAAACATCTCTAGCTGGACAAGAAAGGAAGGGGAAAGTACTGTAACAGCTAATCTCCCTATCTGTGACTCGTCCCAGTTCCCTGTCGCCCCAAATCCAAAACAACATCAATATCCACTCCAAGGGAAGCAAGTCATGTTATTATCATTGGAAAACGACGTACAGTCCGTCGATAATTTCCTTCGTCCCCAAAGCTCCTTCAAGATCGTTCTTGTTCCCCAGCACAAGTGTCGGTACTCCTTTCATCGCTTCCGACTCAATAAGTGCTGTGAACTCCCGATGAGACTCGGGGAGGAGATCGGGTCGAGAGGCGTCCAGGAGGAATCTGCCGCACGTAACATCAGCCATAACTTATGACGTGATGGAGAGTGTGAGACGAACACGACCGCAGACACTCCACGACAGTAGCGCTCCCACATCGAGCGGAACCGTGGTTGCCCCTATCCATCCAGCAGAATTGGTCAGAACACTTCCTGGTTCGCGAGCACAGAAAGAGCGGGAGACGGGGAGAGATAGAGAACCACCAACCCCAATGTCCCACAACTTGATGGTGACGCTGCCTTTGGTAACTAGCATTCCGCTCAGTTTCATCCATTCTTCCAGATAAGAAGAAACGCTGAAAAGTACCTTTGCGCATGTTGAATCCCTATCACAGAGGTGTTAGGCAAAGCGCAGAGGGAAAATAATTAAGTGCACGGACGACGGTCGGGATCATCTCTTCAGAGAATTGACCGTTCTGCAATAACAAGACTCATTAAATTTATCAATCTTCGAGGAGAAATAGAAAACTCACAGCAAGTACGTTCACTTATGTTTTCAAATTTTAAAAGTCAGCCAACTTCACCACCCCTAAGTACATAAAACGAACCCAGTGATGTCTTTCGCCATGTTTAGGTCAGCATACGGCAGCAAGAAAATAATGGGTGGGATACTTACCTTCCCAGAATTCTGTAAGCCAACTAAGGTGATCTCTAGCTCTTTGGTGAAGAAGAGCGATTTGAGCCAATTGAGGAAGGATGTTATGAGAGAAGTCATGGTTGCTCAAAATGCCAAGAGTGTGTCGGGTATAGCTGTCGAGAAGCCGCACGTGAGGTACTATCAAGCAGATAATGCTATAAGGATGGTTGGATAATTGTGGAGGTCAAGTTGACGTTGTACCTGAGCGGATGATGTTGCCTGGAATGGAACTGCCGCATCTCCCAAGGTGAGTCAGAATATGATGTCACATGGAGTAGGACGCCGACTCAAAAGATTTTATTTATGGGGAAGACAGAGACTGGATGAGATAAATTTCGCAATAAAGGCAGAAGCTTGGGATGGCTAAGGAGAATCTGGACGTCACCCTTTTTCCCTCATATTTAAGTTCAGACCTTATTGTAATCTGCCACAGGAAGAAAACATAAGACGTCGTGTTTACCTCTGCTAAGCTAGAGTCGCATATATTTCGTTCTATATCGATAAAATAATCAGCTGACCAATTTAAAAGTGTGATTTGTATAGCGAGCTACTACTAGCAACTGTTTGCTCACGCATTGCACTAGTAAATTTACTCTGCTTTCTTGTCTTATGTTTAGCTAGTAAAAATCCGTCAGCATCGCGCAGTTCGAATAGGTGAAACTGAGATTGTCAGATGAGGAGCTTTGTTGCAAACATATCACCACCTTTACTTTGCTTTCCGGAGCCACGGAATCTTTCAACTTGAAGTAGTCTGGCTGACAAAACACTGCGGTTGATGACCTTAATTGTCCTGAATAAACGAATGTGCTAAAACCCCCTACTACTATGTTGCGATTATTTACAAATGAGCACAGCATCTAAACTATCGTGTACGAGTTCGAGCGTGTCCCTGCTTGCGAACAAATAAACCACTGGTTAAACAAGAAAGCCAGAAATGCACCCTTGCAGCCCAAAGTAAAACGAATAATGGTTAAAGTTACCTCATTGCCCCTTTGACAAGGTTGATGGGTTTTATAGGGGTCTTCAAAGGCATGTTCCGCTCTGGCATCTGTTTCTCAGGATCGAAGTAGTCGTTGGGATTTGATTCAAGGACAACTTGTCGACCGTCCGACTACCAATAGTGTAACTAAATTAGACTATTGCAGAGGGCAAGGATTGCGTACCATCTGTGCTTTTATAGCAGACTTTCCTGCGGACTTCAGGACGACCTGACGCACAACTCCTCGAGCACTAGGTCGAGGTCAGTGTCAGAAAAATGGGAACGAGAATCGTACTCGACATAGACGACCTGAGAGAGGTCCATTAGTCCCAATCAAAATGAGGCGTAAAGGCGTACAACAACTCCTTTAATGATCCCTCCAACCTGTCTTGCGACTTCTCCAGCTTCATCGCCGTATTTATGAGAAATTATAGTGGTAGACGAGTTTCCAGCGGCATCCACCACGTTCTTCGTGCTACCGGACGGGGTCAGATTGACACTCAATTTGGGGAAAGCGAGGGAGAGGACAAACCCTGTACCAAGACCGTCAGCTACGTTTCCAATCGCAACGAGGGTTTTCCCGAGGGCCGACTTGAACGCTCCTGCAGACTTGTTCGGCTGACCACTGCCACCTATCGAAGATACATCAGGATACGACTTCAAAGGCATGAAGGGAGAGAGCATACTGCCATCCCCGAATTTAAGGGACCTTCCTACGCGATCTCCAAACCTGCTTGCGGTAGTTGAGAGATGCGAGATCGTAGCGCTCGAGAAATTGACGACTATAGCAGTGGCCCGTCAAACCTCCTGTTCAAACAGAGAGTTCGCTGGGGAGGCTTACCTTGCTGCGTTGCTTGATACGTTTTCTGTACCCCTTCCTTTGCAAGGGGATGGAACACGAGGGGGCTTTGCTCGAGGGGCGGTTCTCCGTTTGCTTCTCTCTCTCGCATTTCCTCCCTCTTCCTATCTATCCATTTATTCGTCGCTCCTTCCATCTGCGTTGACAGTTTTTCACTTGCCAACACGATGCCACGAGAAATGACATTGGACATCACTACTACTTTTGAGTCGTCGTACTTCCCGCCCATGCGTCCTTTAGCTTGAGCGTGGGAAACGGTCTCAACTTGGATTGAAGGGTGATGCGAAGGATCCCAATCTGACGGAAGGGTCACCACGACTGGTTCAGCATTTCCATCACCTCTTCTGGACGCTGCGCCGATCGAGACGTTCGATCTGGACTTCCTCAAACTCTGCGCTCCTAACATCTCATTGATATCCACCCCCGCCGCAAGCTCTCCGATCGGCGCGCCGGTCTCTGAATCCACCAGCATGAGCGTCTTCGGATGGCTCCTCAACTCCCGTGCATACTCCTCGTTCGTCTGCATTTTCCGAACTGTCCCCTTTCCCCCAGCTTCCATTGCATGACTGAACTCTTCGTCCAGTATCTCTGGCACGCCGTCATATCCCTGGGGTTGGCGAAAAGAAGTTCGCGCTTCTAGGATGGAAGTGAAGAGCGAAAGGTCGTCTTCAGACACAGCTTCCATGTTCAGCGTCATCCATAGATCTTCTTTCCCATGCGAGGATGGCGACTCCTGAAAACGAAAGAGGTATCGTCTACTTAAGTCACGCACCCTGGTCTTGGGTGCAATCGGCATCGCCCACTCGTTCTCAACAGAGAACCAAATCCATTCTTCTTCTTGCTTCTCGCCTCCGTTTCGGGTAGGCGAGCTTCCCCTGCTCTTTGACAATGTTGCGGGCTTTTTGGGTGGACGAGGCGGTATCTTTCTCAACACGAGTGGAGGAGGGTCCGGAGAATTCGAGGATGAAGGAGGTGGGGAAGGAGATAATCTAGGAGACCGTGTCGGAGGCGATGGTGGCTTTCGTCGTCTCGACTCGTAAGGTGCATAAGCCGGTGGAGTTGCCGTCCCTCCTGACGATCTGATTGGATGGGAAGGAGGAGGGGGCAGCGGTTGCGAATTTGAACGCTCCCGTCGCGTCTTGACATAACTGGTTGGCGACGAAGATGAAGGCGCAGGTGCAAGTGTGATGGTCAACGTTCTCGAAGGAAGATTCACTTGAGCAGTAGTGATTCCGACCGGGGAGATAGTGAGAAGGATAATGTTATTAGGGCTGCAGCTTGTCATGGTATCGTACTGCGGGATGTGTCAGTAAATTCATCCTAAAGGTCCAAGAGTGATAGAGCAGCTATAAAGTAGTTGCTGCATTATCGTAAATGTTCCCAGGTAATACCATAGACTCCATGGCCTAGTCAGTCCAACCTAGCCTGTCTGTGGGCTTCGTTATATATTTCAAGCCTTTGCATGCCATAAAACGTCACATTCAGCAGCTGAAGGATAAGACAGCCCTCATCGATATATCTCTTGGGGCTACGAAGTACAAGATGGGCTCGAGGTGCTTTTTTTCCCGACAGACACAATAAACGCAACAAATCGGTTTGTATCACAATGCTGACGCTCCAAAAGTGAAGGCACTTGGAAAAAATAAAGGCAAGAAGAAAGAAGACTGGCTAGTTGCAATTGCAAACATTGACGTACCTTTTCACCTGAATATCTTCCCTGTCCCTCTAGCACTCCCTATTGCCCAAAACCCGCGATTGAGAATAGCGTAGTGAGGCCCCGGCGTGGGCTAGGAGTGAGGCGGGCAGAGCTTTCGTGGTTGCTTGTGGTCGCTGCATACATCACGACTTGGCAATCGCTTGCACCACGTTCGGGTTTAAGCCGGCGATCGGCTGAGCCAACATCGCAAGATTGCAGATTCGTCATCACAGCATGGCGGTTTTTGAAGTCCAAGAAGTGGATGACCTGGGAGAGAAAGAAAGATGGCGCACTCGGTAAGATAATGTAAAAATAGCATATTAATTACCCCAATAAAAAGATAAACAAAGTAACTGCTGCCACCGAGACTCGAACTCGGGCCCATACCTTGGGAAGGTACGATTCTACCCTTAAACTATAGCAGCTGTATCTGTTACAGGATCGACTTGCGTGTTAACATTGCTCCGCTCCCAAATAGCTACCAGTGATTCACCATATGGTTTAAACAATATAACGTGCACAAACATAAAATCTGGATTTCAACCCTGCCAAAACCGCCACCCCGGCTTCTCAACGATCTTCTCCTTGTTCTTCCAATGCTTCTGAGCATCCTTCCCTCCTCTCCCTTGCCCACCCTTGATACCTCCCTTCTTCAACCCACCAAGTCCTGTCATCTTCTTTGTACGTTGGTCAAAGTCTCGAATGAGACTTCCTTCCGGCTCCAACTGGCGAAGGGATGGTGCAAGTGAATCAGTAAGCTGAAATGTGAGGTCGACCTCAACCTCTTCAACGGGTAGTGGTTTGGATGGTTGTGGCTCGTAAGGTACAATAGCCTTCTCTTCTATCGACTCGGGGACCGCCAACTCATCAATTTGTCTCCGCTGGGCCTTGAGCCTCTTTTTCTCCTCAAGTCTCTTCTCCTCTTCCTTCCTCGCTTCCTTCTTCAGACTCGACAGTTTCTTCTTCTTTCTCCTTGGTCCCTTCTTCCAATCCGCGTCTCCTTCAGCCTCCCCTCCTGATGCTTCCTCTCCACTCCCAACTTCATCTTCAACGCCTTCAATACGCTTTCGCTTGCGGTCTTCCCGACCTGCTTCCATTTGATCCTTCACTGCGCGTGCCGCTGATTCTTTCTCCTCTTCGACTATTGCAGACTCGTGGTTTACTGAAAGCAGAGATTGATGGGATGTCAAAGACGGGTTGTACGACGATCCTGGATGGGGCATCTTCATTTTTTCGGACTTGAGAGCTGATGGAGGAAGCTGCACCTTTACTGCCGAAGTCAGCATGTTTCTCTCAGCTACATATTGAAGTAGACAGAATGTAGAGGATGTCATCCGCTTTAAACGACCCTTGCTTCATCCGAATGTCAGCAAGGGAGATACCGTCGGATACTCCTAAGACCATGCCGTGACCTTAGGAGGAGGCTCGATCTTCCCAATCGCAGCACCTTTCCACCTCGTAGGATCATGAGGAAGAAGTTGCCAAAGCAAGAGGGATGCAACATTATTTACGAGAACAGCGTCGTAATTCGCAGCTCGAGTACGAGGAGCGACAAAGCTGGTCATTGCGTGATTACCTTAACATTAACAAGCAGGTTCTCCAACACTCTGCTGCATCGCCACTCGACTCAACAAGCTGAATTAACAGCAATCTCACAACTAGACGACGGACCTGCTACTAGTTGTCTAGTTGAGCATAAATCAACTTGATCAGCAGAATGCACTTGATCTGTCAAAAGTGTGATCTCTTCAAGAGGCCGAGGGCCTGTGCATTGTGCACAGTAGCGACCAAGCCATAGCACATATGCTCCCGCAATGTCTACTAACAGCTACAGCGCATTGAGACCCTCATCGGACCAGTCACCCCGTAAGAACTCGCAAGCGCGGTGCCAGGCATATGAGAAAAGAACGTAATTTCCTGCGCTGAAAATACTCTGTGTGGAAGAAAAAGCACACCTGCTTCCCCTCATCTCCGCCATCAGCCCAAATATTCTCTTCCGCCGTCTTCCCCTTGACATCACCTAGCACCCTGTTCCTCTCCTCCTCTGTTGTCTCTGCCATTGCACTCTCAATTCCAGCTCCATTTGCCCGCCTCTTCCGCGCAAAGCTACTACTAACGGATCGCTCCAGGCGGAGTTTCTCATTCCTAGAAATGCCTCTTTTCTTGCCTTCAACCAATTAATAAAGATCAGTATCTTGATTGTTATTCGAGTGCAAATGGAAATTCGCACCTTGCGAATCAGAAGTTAGGGATGTAGTAGCTTTTCGTGCGCGGGAAGAAACAGCGGGCTCAGACGAGTAGTTGAGGAGGGCGAGGTGGGATTTAAGCACCTTTTTCTTCCCGTCGGTTGGGAGAGACCGCGAGAAATGAAAAGGATGGTTAGGTGGAAGGGGTGTTGGGTCTGCGGTGAGGGTGAACAGATCCTGAGGCATCTTGAGGCGATGGTCAAAAAAAAAAATTTCTTGGTGCTCTAGTCGGTAACTATATCTTGTCACTGCAATCACGTGAGCAGAGGTACTTCGGCAAAAGGCAAGATCACAAATCCAAATACTTAATCGCCGATGTGTCAGAATTGAATACTGAAGGGTTGGTCCATTGTTCCACGAACAGCAGTAAAATTACACAGAGCATTGCCAAAGTCTGTCTCATCAACATCAGCCACCACGACTGCAAAGCATTCAAACTAAAATCCTTGAATTCCCATTCCCGCCTGAGCTACGACCTCCCATTCGAGTCTAATTTCTTCCTCGCTACCACCATCGAGAGTCAAAGTCCACTCGATCTCATGCTTCTTCTCATCTTTCCATTTTGCTGTCACATTCCTCCCATTTGCTCCGTCAATAGAAGCGATTTTCTGTGACGCTCCTTTCTCCTCTTCGTTGGTAGACATTGCAGGTAAAGGCATAGGGAGAGGAGGATGGAGAAGTCGGACTTGGATCCTACTGTCGGTGCTCATAGGAATGCGTTCAGCGACTTTGATCGTAATCCCGTCTTCTTTTTCCTTCGGAGAGGGAGGATGCGAGTTGATAATCTTGATGTATTGCTCCATTTTCCAAGCGTCCATCTTGGTCAAACTTCCCTGCAATAAACCTCGCGACGCTCGATGTCTCCTGAGTGGCGGGTACTCGACTCGTATGGCCCGATCGACACTAGAAAGGACAGTATTGTGAATCAAGTGAGAATAGAAAGCTGAACAAACATACCCCAGGTGCAGATTGAATGTTTCCCCAGGGCTGATCATGGAATCAAAGGACGAACGAGCAACAAATGCATCGTGTAGGTAAATGGCAAGTGGCCCAGGAAGAAGTGGATAAAGGTCATTCTTTACCTTGGCCTGTGAAGCATTAAGCGCACTGCAGAAAGAATGGAAGATGAAACTGACTGTGAGATACACTTCCGTGTCCTTACTTGGAACTACCAACCATTCCATATCCGCCTCCATCTTCCACTCGGCAATGCTAACGGTCTGATCCTCCTTCTTGCCGTTCCGTCCTGAGCTGTGCGCCGATGTAGATGAGCGAGACAAGATCGTCGTTTTTCCGGGAACCTCCAACGAGACAGAAAGTTGACTCTGTTTCCCGACTTGTGCCTGGTTCACTCCTGCTTCTTGCATTTTCTCTGCTTCCTCCAGCGGAGAAGGCAAATCCATCATCACATTCTCCGGCATCCCAGCTCCCATCAACTCGTCCTCATCGTCGCCCAAGAATTCGTCGTGAGTAACCATTTTGGAGTACTTCACGTTAAACTGCTGGGCGCCGCGCCTTTGCGGTGGAATGTATGATGGAGGACTGAGGAACCATGGATCGAGCGTTGGAGGGATAGGAGAGAACGACGGTTGGGAGGTGGCGAGAATGAGGTCGACATCTATCCAATCCTTTCCGCAAGAGCTCAGTGAGCACTAATCTTGGATTAAATAAAGAGAAACTCACCTCACCGGTCGATTGCTCGACCACGGCACCATACTCCAACTTGGCCGACCAGGTTCCTTCCTCCACGACCCTCGCATCATAGACCGGCTTCCACTTCGCTCCTTTCACCCCATACTTCAAGCTCACGACGGCGTCTCCAGCCTTTTCAGCCCATATCTTCACCGTGACAGAAGAACGCAAATCTTTGTTCCCTCCCTTCTTCGCTTCCAAAGCGGTCTCCTCTTCTCTTAGCCTTTTGACATCTGCACGCGTGGAATGGATGAGGGACCTAAGACGGGTAGCTTCTTCTTCGAAATATTCGAGGGAGGCGGAAAAATCGGATAGATTGGCTGTCCGATTCATATCTTAATAGCTGTTGGCCTAGGAAGAAGGATGAAAGACAAACTATTGGCAGGCTTCATTGCCCGAGTGTATTCGTAAAGTGTGTCGTAACGCAAATCGAGTCTTCTCTCCTTAAGCTCAGCATCTCCTCTCCTTCTCCTCAACTCTTTCAATTCCTCATCTTCATCTTGTCCATAACCATCGCCGTAGGAAGGATGCCTCGGTTTCTTCGCGCTAGCCACTCCTTTAAGGGTAGTTTTGAAAGGAGCGGACGCTTTTATCCTATAGTGCGTAACCGACAACAACACCAATCTCAGCACAAGCTCTGGCAGCTAGCAAGATGCAGGATGCAGACGTACTGGAGGTCGCTACTTATGATCCCAGAAGACAGTTGGGTTATGAGGACTATATTTTCGCCTTGGTGGAGGTGAAGAGGGAACACGCGGGAGATGTCCGCTCTGTTGGATGGGTAGAGGTTTACAGAGTCGATGGGATACTCCGTCGCAGAGAGCGTGAGCTCATGCGTAGCCGCATATGCACTAATGATGATATCGAAAGAGTCAACGCCTTGAATTTTCCTTGTCAGAAAACGTACGATGACGCGATCACAAAGACGACCAACTTGAAAGTAGGGTAGATTTTCATGTTTGGATGTGCGGAGGTGAAGGTGGAACGCTATCCTTAAAACTGAAAGGTGGATGACTTGCTCCTTCATAATAAAAAGGGATGCCACGTCGCAGTCAGCCAAAGACCGATTGCCCACTTAATTGGCGTTCAACCTCCCGCCGCTTGGCAGAACGGACTCGCGGAAACCGCATCTTCTAGGATGGAATACGGCGAAGATAGTGATGTCACGCGTGATAAATGTTGTTGTGCTGCCAGTGCCTTCCGAGTCCGAGTCCATGATGCATTCTTAACAGAGCCATTACTTTACGGCTGGTTTTGTGCTAGGGAGTACGGAGTGAGGAAGCTGGACGGAAGCTGGACGGACGATAAAGCCAAAGTTGCAATCATAAGAAATACTGATTGGAGCGAGATTGGAGGCAATTGAGGCAATTGGAGCTGATGAGACGTGCACAATTACCGGTTGGTTCCAGAAATATCGCGTCATCATGACCTGGCCATGTTCATGTTTACCTGCCCTTACAGCAGCTTCTTTGAAAACCAAGACGGTG